GGGCGCGGGATAAAGCGTTAGTGGCGGAAGGGGCAGTGGGCGGGGCCCCCACTGGGGCGCTGGGGACGCGGGGGGGCTTGGGGCAGAGAGCCACGGCGCGGGGGGCCCACTCTGGCGCTGAGGTCGCGAGGGGGGGGGGGGAGCGACGCCGAAATAAAATGGTCGGGGCGGAGAGGGCGGCGCGCTGGGCTGCTGGGGAAAAGGACAGGGGGGGGCGACGACGACGCCGAAATAAAGTGGTCGGGGCGGAGGGGGCAGCGCGCTGGGCTGCTGAGGAGAGGGAGAGGGGGGGGCGACGACGACGCCGAAATAAAGTCGTCGGGGCGGAGGGGGCGGTGCGCTGGGGTGCTGGGGAGCGACACATAGCGACACATGTCGACACAACGCCGAAATAGGGCGACGACGACGCCGAAATAAAGTGGTCGGGGCGGAGAGGGCGGTGCGCTGGGCTGCTGGGGAAAGCGACACATGTCGACACAACGCCGAAATAGGGCGACGACGACGCCGAAATAAAGTGGTCGGGGCGGAGAGGGCGGTGCGCTGGGCTGCTGGGGAAAAGGACAGACGACGACGCCGAAATAAAGTGGTCGGGGCGGAGGGGGCAGCGCGCTGGGCTGCTGAGGAGAGGGAGAGGGGGGGGGGCGACGACGACGCCGAAATAAAGTGGTCGGGGCGGAGGGGGCGGTGCGCTGGGGTGCTGGGGAGCGACACATAGCGACACATGTCGACACAACGCCGAAATAAAGTGGTCGGGGCGGAGGGGGCAGCGCGCTGGGCTGCTGAGGAGAGGGAGAGGGGGGGGGGGGGGGCGACGACGACGCCGAAATAAAGTCGTCGGGGCGGAGGGGGCGGTGCGCTGGGGTGCTGGGGAGCGACACATAGCGACACATGTCGACACAACGCCGAAATAAAGTGGTCGGGGCGGAGGGGGCAGCGCGCTGGGCTGCTGAGGAGAGGGAGAGGGGGGGGGCGACGACGACGCCGAAATAAAGTCGTCGGGGCGGAGGGGGCGGTGCGCTGGGGTGCTGGGGAGCGACACATAGCGACACATGTCGACACATATCGACATATAGAGACATATATCGACACACACACATATCGACGCATAGCGACACACAGCGACACATAGCGACGCACACGCACACATGGAGACGCATAGCGACACGCAGCGACACATATAGCGGCACATGAAGGGCACAAGGCACACAGTGACACATATAGCGACACATGAAGGGCACAAGGCAGCTGGGGGGGAGCGACGACGACGCCGAAATAAAGTGGTCGGAGCTCTAGACACCCTGTGCAAGAGAATAAATACACACAAGTCCGCCGATCTGGCGTGAGAGCTTAAGGAAGCTACAACCTGAATTTCAGCACTGCTGGGGGGGGGCCGGGGTGGCTTTGCCAGGGTAGGGAGGGGGGGGGGGGGGGGGGCTCATGGGGTCCACCCTTTCTTCCCCCCCCCCCCCCGGGAATCCCAAACCGCCCCAAGACGGGCCAAAAGGGGCCCAGGAGGCCACCAAGACGGTCCAGGAGGCGCCCGAAACGGCCCAAGAGCACTCCTGGACGCCCAAGATGGCCTGAAGACGGCCCAAGAGGCCTCCAAGACGCCTCAAGGAGATCCCAAGAGGACCCCCAAGAGGGCCCGGTACAATAGTAGTATTGCTAATAGGTTTTGAAGGATTTTAACATTATCGTTTTTTCCGTCTTAGAAGCGCCGAAGACGGTCCAAGAGGCCCCCAAGATCGCCCCAAGACAGCCCAAGAGGCCCCCAAGAGGAGCCAAGACTCAAGACGGTCCAAGAGGGCCCCAATATAGCCCTGGAGGCCCCCCAAGACGACCCCGAGAGGCCCCCAAGATAGCCTCAAGAGGGTGAATCCGAACGGACCCTTCTAGTCCTCCACCCCAAGATGACCCCAAGAGCCCCCAAGATGCCCCCGAGGCGCCCCCAAGAAGCCCCCAGAGGCCCCCAAGAGGTCCCCAAGAGGCCCCCAAGAGGTCCCCGAGAGGCCCACAAGAGGCCCCAAAGGCCCCCAAGAAGCCCCAAGAACCAAGAGGCCCCAAGAGGCGCTCACTCGCGTGCTGCCAGGCCAGAGGTGCACGGCCTGATTTGGTATTGCTCGGAAGCGAAAGCGATGAACGAAGAGCCTTCCACCCGTCGCCGTCACCAGTCGTCGTCGTCAGTCGTCGTCGTCAGTCGTCGTCGTCAGTCGTCAGTCGTCGTCGTCGTCGTCGTCGTCGTCGTCGTCGTCGTCGTCGTCGTCGTCGTCGTCGTCGTCGTCGTCGTCGTCGTCGTCGTCGTCGTCGTCGTCGTCGTCGCCGGTTCGTCGTCATTAACTCCTTCGTCGGTCGTCGTCGTAATTATCCCGCTCGTCGACCGTTGGTCGTCCGTTGTCGTCGCCATCGTCCATTTCAACAACAATAGCATCAGGAGCGCCCCGGATCGGCGGCACTGGCCGGAGGCCACTACAATAACAGGATCCCCCATAGTTTCCCATGTTTTCTGGGTTTTTGTCTTCCCCCCACTTCCCGTTATTTTCCCATATTTTCTGGGGAATCGACGATTAATTGTGTCTGTGTGTTTCTTTCCCTCCTGAAAGAAAAACGGCGCGGGCACTATTTCTCTGAGAGCCGCGCGGGATTGGATCGGCGATGACACCCCCTCCCGCCAGGGCGGTCCAGCGCCGATCCAAGAAACCTGTAAGGACCTGAGAGGAATCATGTTTCTGCAGCTCTGTGTTCCACTCTCACGGCTCTGATCTTGCAGACGGGCTACACTGAAGATCGGCCCTGGGTTCCTGCAAATGAGACACCCCAAAAAGGCGAGCGAAACACGTGGTGAATTTGAGGTGAGGCCGTTCAGTCTCATTTCCCGACTAGACAGAATCCGCTCGCAATTCACAACAGAATCTGGAACGACATGATGAACAAAGAAATTCTGGGCTCATACTTTTGCGATCGAAGTCCGCTCTGCGAGGTTGGCGCCATGGCTCCTCCCCCTCCATGGGCGGTGCGCAAGAAGTGCAGGATCAGCCGGCTAAATTGATCAAGAGGAGGAGGAGGAGGAGGAGGAGAAGGAGGAGGAGGAGGAGAGGAACCAGCATCGAGTCGGGAAACCTGATCGGATCGAAACGCGCGTGGGATCGGGCTGCAACGGCACCGAGTCGGAAGCGAGTCGGATCGGCTGCGCTGGGATGCACAACAGCGCCACGCAGGCATCGGGCCGCAACGGATCGCCAAAAGATCAGACCCCCTCCTCTCGCTGGAGCGCTCTGGAGCGTTGTATGCTCCTTCTGGGTCTGCTTGACGGGCGGCACCCCACGCTGCGAGCGGAACCTCTCTAGGTGAGCGGGACCATTCGAGCCAGCCTCGAACCGAATCCCCAAGACTGACGAGCCTAAGGCAACTACAATCTCAGGGATGCGTCCTCGGGAGCTGAGGGTAACCCGCTGTCCTTGCATTTACCATGTTTGAGCTGGCTGATTACTTGGTGTACTTCTTCCGGCGTAAATGGTGGAATTTGGATGGGCTTCGTTTCGGCCACTGACTACCTACCAGACCACCCCAACCCAACCCGAAGACCCGAATTTCGGGTTGAGGGGGGTAAGGGTTCCACGCGTGTTTTTTCGATGTTTCCCGAACCCCCCCCCACTAGAAATCGAGGGTAAATCTGAGCCTTCGGGTTGGGTTGGGGTGGTTTGGTGGGTGGTGAGCCACTGGGTTCTCGCGGCAGGGGCGGCAAGTGAGCGTCGAAGGTCCTTTACTGGAGTCCTGCTGTCGGTAGAGTTGTTGACAGAACGCTGCGAAAATCCGCCGACCCTTCGGCGTGTGTGCGACGGTGTCGTCGTCTTCGTCGTCGTCGACGTCGTCGTCGCCAGTCCAAAGCGAGAGAGAGAGAGAGAAAACAAAAAAAAAAAAAAAGCAGAGAAAAGAAACGTCATAGTTAAGTCGACTCCCTCCCCTTTTTCCAATCCCTGACAAGGAGGGGTACGGGGGGGGGACAATTGGGGGGGTAGGGGTCAGGTTACCGCCCCCCTGGGGTCCTGGCGCATTCTGGGGGGCCCCCCCCTGAGGACAGCGGAGCCTGGGGACAATCCCTTCCGGGGGTCGCCAACGGGGTCCCAGGGGAGATCCCGCCTGTGGTCCGGGAAGGGGGTCCCGGGTCCAAATACCGCCCCCCCTGGGGTCCCAGCGGGTCCCAGGGGGTAGCGCCAGCAGTGGTCCCAGTGGAGGTCTTGCTTTCAGGGTCGGCGGCACCGACCACAAGGCCTTCACACTATTACCGATGCTTTTTCGGTCGGTCTCGTCGTTGCCGTCTTGCCCAGTCATTGATGGTATCATGTATTTCGTTGTTCTGATGCCCGCCAACTTCCGTAGGCCTTTGAAGTTGACGATGATGTCCTTGATTTGCTCTTGCTGTCGAGCACGTTTGATAAAACGCAGTTCCTTGAAGGTCTCCTTGCCGATAACCTTGCGGGTCGTAGTGTCTGCCTGTTGCACATTGCGCCGTTGTGCGATGAGGTCGCGGAGCTGTTTAGCGCGTTCGTGGTCGAGTGCTTGATGGTAGTGGTTGGGATGGGCGTTTTGCGTCTCACATTAAGGGCCTCCTCAGAAGGCGGCGGTGCCTCTCAGAAGCCCCCACCTTCTCTGCTGTCCTCCGTGCCGTCGGGGCAGGCTCAGCAGACCCCTCAGAGGCCCGAGGTCTCCCGAGCCTTCCAAGAAGGCCCGCCCCCCCTCCCATCTGCCCTGAAGAAGAAAAAACGGCACAAAGATAAACTTTTGGCGGTCCGCGCGGGTTTCTTGGGTCTGCGCCGGAGGCGCCGCGGGGGGGGCCCAGAGCAGATCCAAGAAATCCGAGCGGAGCGACAAAAGCTTAGGCTTACGTCGTTTTTCCTCTTCGGGAGAAGGCCCGCCCCCCCTTTCCACCTTTCCCCCCCTGGGCTCGCCGCCGAGAGAGAGGGGGAAGAGGGCAGGGCAGAGCCGCCGCGCTGCGCCGAGTCCTGGCCCGCGGCGGGCGGCTGCGCGGCCGGCTCGTCCAGGCTCGAGCGCTCGCCGTCCTGGGGGCGCCCCCCCCCCGGCAGGGTGCCACGGCGCGGCTGGGCACCAGTCGGCGGCGCGCCGATGGGGGGGGAAGTTTCGGGTGCGAGGTCGATGGTGTTCGGCAGTTGTCGTTGATGCTCAGCGGTTTTCCAGACTCGGGGTGCGTTCCAGCAGCTGCGCCTCGCCGAGGGCGTTCCAGGGTTTCCAGATCGTCCGGAACGGCCGCTGGAGACCCGATCTATGACCCGAAGGCTCGACGACGAGGATCTTGGAAAAGTAAGGCCTTCTCAGAAGGCGGCGCAGCTTCTGAGAAGCCACTTGGCCTTCTGAGAAGCCGTCTGTGGCTTCGGAGCAGGCTCAGCAAGCTTCTCAGAAGACAGGAGGCCTTCGGAGGCCCGCCCTCTCTGCCGACCTCCCGGGCGCGCCGCCGAAACAGTGCGTGATACTAAAAAGCACCAGAAGCCCAGGGCACCACACCTCTTGCAAGCGACCAAGCCACCGCCGGGCCTGGAAGCAGTGGAGCACCACGCAAGCCGCCCTACAATATGCGAGTTCGTCGATGAAACGTAGCCCAGGAGGAGCTGAAGTTTTTTTGGAACCACATAATGGCCGTTATGTGCCTGGGTGGGTGGGTGGTTTCGCTGGTACGTAACATAACACAGTCGCGCGTGGCCGCTCGAATGTATTTCATGTTGCGAACATTGCACCTGTTGTTATTGCTGTTGGAGCTGATGCAACGAAGGGGCCCAGCAGCTGCGAGAGCCGCAAATATTATTACTAATACTAGTACGACAACAACAACAACAACAACAGCAGCAACAACAACAACAACAACAACAACAACAACAACAACAACAACAACAACAATTACTAGCACGTGGGGACACTCCGTTCTCACCAGTGCCAGGGTTTTCATAGGAGGCGGGCAATACCCCCACTTTGTGGGGGGGCCGGTTCAAGCTCTACCAAATTTCCAAACGACTCTTCGCCACCACCCACACCCAGCTTCCCGCCCTATGACGTTCGGACACTTCACTTCGTGGCATGCGGACGACCGTGGCTACTATTCAGGGCCCCGCGGCCGACGACGACGGCGTGCGCGCGCGAAGAAAAAACGAATGTGTCCCGCATGGTATTATTTGACAGGGATGATGGCCCTGGCAGGTGCGCAACCGTTGTTGCAGAAGTTCGAAAAAGTTGCTCGCAAAAGCCCGTTTGACAGAAATGTTTAAAAAGTGTTGGGTTTCCTACGAATCCGCAAGAGCGCGCGGGATGAAATTTTGACATTTTTTTTTGAAAAACCATTGGTTTTTTGATGTTTTTATGTTAAAATCGCTACGAACACTAAGGTTTTGGAAGGATTTCGTCTTGCGCGCGCGAATGTCCACTTTACCTTATTTTTTGCAAGGGATTCTTGAAGTTTGGTTATGTTAGAACAAGAAATGTCCACTTTAGCTGATTTTTTGCAAGGGAAAACGGGGGACAACAAAACAACCGGATCCGGACACCCACGTTTTGCCTGAGACTTCCTCACGAAAATGATGAAAATGTGGCTGCGGCCTAGGCGCGGCGAGGGGGCCGCGCACCAGGGGCCCCAACAATAATTATTCTTTAGAATAAAGAATGTTCAACTACCACCACCACCCACCACCACCACCACCACCACCCACCACCACCACCACACACCACTACTACTACACTACTACTACTACTACTACTACTACTACTACTACTACTACTACTACTACTACTACTACTACTACTACTACTACTACTACTACTACTACTACTACTACTACTACTACTACTACTACTACTACTACTACTACCACTATTACGAATCGTTCCGTTACAGGCCCCAGGAAGGCCCCCAAAAAGGCCCAGGGCGCCTGGAGGCCACAGAGTCCACGCATCGATACCGGATTCAAAGAAACTCCAATCGTTCCGTTCCAAGCCCCCGGAGGGCCCAGCGGCGCCCTGAGGTCAGAAAGTCAAGGAATCGGTACCGGTTACAAACAACTGTCATCGTTGCATCCCAAACTCCCCCTCCTCGTCCTCCTCGTCCTCCTCGTCCTCCTCGTCCTCCTCCCCCCCCCCTGTCCTCCTCCTCCTCTTCCTCCTCCTCCTCTTCCTCCTCCTCCTCCTCCTCCTCCTCCTCCTCCGCACTGCGCCTGTGAGCACCGCGGCGTTCCCGCGAACGCAACATTATATGCCTGTGGGCATCACAATAGCGCGAAGCGCGCGGGCGCGCCTGTGGGCCCCACAACAACCTGCGCGCGCGATGCGCCCCTACAAGCCACAGTCGTATGTCTGCGCACACTGCAAACACGCTGTCGTCGCACTACGAGCAGCATACGTAACTATACGCTACACATCGGGCACTGCTGCGACGAGGGTGGGTGGGGCGGCGGCCGTTATGTCATGTACTGGGTGGGCGGGTGGGTTGGAGGCCACATAACGCGCATTATGTGTTTGAGTAAAAAAAACTTGAGCTCGAGACAAACAAAACTACCTGGGTTGCGCGTCGCGCCCCGCGGTGCGCGACAAGCGATTATGTTCCCGCCCTCGCGCCGCCGCTGTGGGAAATAGGCACCTTCGCAGCCCAGGCAACGCGGCGCGAGGCGCGGTTATCTTCGCGCCCCTGTAGGGCGACCTAGGAGGCAGAGATAACGATACGAGCTGTGCAGATACGTGGGCACCAGACTGCAAGGCCCGCGACTGGCGGCATAGAGAGGGCAGCTTGGCCACACCTGTGTTGCAGCTCGGCAGGCTGGCAGCGCCATTTCTGCAGGGCACGCTCAGGCAAGGCCTCAGGCCGTCAGAACCTCAGAGGAGGAAGCGTCACGCCAAGCTGGCGGCGCAGCAGCACACTGTCTGCCATGGGCTTCGGACAACAGGAAAAGTGTAGAACCCACCCCCAAGAGAAAAAACAGCTGCCCTTTGGGCGTAGATGGTCTAACGAGTTCTTTCCTCTTCCACAACCCTCTCTTCACTTCGGGAAGGGGTACCCCCCCTCCCCTCCCGAATGTCTTTTGTTGGGGGGGGCGAGAGGTGGCAGAGAGCCCTTGTTCGCCCAAAAGATGGCTCCAAGGGGGCCTCCGATGATCCAAGATGGCCTCCAAGGCGGCTCAAGATAGCCGAAGGTGCTTCAAGATAGCTTCCAACATACCTGCAAGGAGCCCGACGAGGGCCACAAGACGGTTCCAAGTACTCTCAGACTCTCAGACCCCCCAGGACCCCCCCAAGAGGCCAAAACCTTCAAAAACCTAAAGGGAATCAACGATTGCTGCCGTATCGCCGTTTCGCTTCCGATGCGCTGCTGGGATCTCAAGATTGCCCCAAGATAACCCCAGCGAGAGCCTCAAGAGGGGCCCAAGAGGCCCCCCAGACTGCCCACGCCCCAAGAGGGGCCCGCCCGAGAGGGCCATAAGAGGCGATTTTGAGAGCCCCAGAGGGGGCGAAACTATGAAGCCCCCCCCTTTGATCGACAGCCTCCAAGATGGCCTCAAGAGGCCCTCCAGGGCTCGCAAGGAAGCCCCAAGAGAGCCCAGAGAGCGCCACAAGAGCGCCACGAGGGCCCCAAGAGGCGGTGTGCCCCCTCCTCCTCCTCCTCCTCATCCTCTTCCTCCTCCTCCTCCTCCTCATCATCATCATCAGCAGCATCAGCATCAGCAGCAGCATCAGCATCAGCATCAGCATCATCATCATCATCATCATCATCATCATCATCATCAGCATCAGCATCATCATCATCATCATCATCATCATCATCATCATCATCATCATCATCATCATCATCATCATCATCATCCTCATCCTCATCATCATCAGCATCATCATCATCGTCCTCATCATCGTCATCGTCATCATCATCATCATCATCAGCAGCATCATCATCATCATCATTATCACCATCACCATCACCATCACCATCACCATCACCATCACCATCACTATCACTATCATCCTCATCATCATCATCATCATCATCATCATCATCATATCATCATCATCATCATCATCATCATCATCATCATCATCATCATATCATCATCATCATCATCATCATCATCATCATCATCATCATCATCATCATCATCATCATCATCCACAACAACATCAACATCATCATCACCACCACGAGCATTAGCAGCAGCAGCATCATCATCAGCAGCAGCGTAATCGTCAGCAGCAGCAATGTCATCATAATCATCATCATCATCATCATCATCATCATCATCATCATCATCACCATCGTCGTCATCATCAGCATCATCATTAGCAGCATCATCATCAGCATCATCATCAGCATCATCGACATGATCGTCATCATCATCATAATCCTCATCATCATCAGCATCGTCATCATCATCAGCATCATCATCGTCATCATCATCATCATCAGAAGCAGCATCATCAGAATCAGCATCATCATCAGCATCATCAACATCAGCACCACAGCATCATCATAGCCATCAACCTCATCTTCATCAGAAGCACCATCATCATCAGCATCATCATCAGCATCATAATCAGCATCATCATAGTCATCATCATCAGCATCATCATCATAATCAGCATCATCGTCAGCATCATCATCATCATCATCAGCATCATCAGCAGCATCATCATCGGCATCATTATAGTCATCATCATAATCAGCATCGTCAGCATCATCATCGTCATCAGCATCATCATTAACATCAGCAGCACCATCGTCATCATCAGCATCATCATCAGCCTCATCATCGTCAGCATAAGAATCGTCATCAGCATAAGCATCACCGGTATCAATATCAGCATCATCAGAAGCAGCATGTGCATCATAAGCAGCATCATCACCATCTTTAGCATCATCATCATCTGCAGAATCAGCATCATCAGCATTATCATCATCATCATCATCATCATCATCATCATCATCATCAGCATCAGCATCAGCATGAGCATCATCATCATCATCAGCATCAGCATCATCATCATCATCAGATCATCATCAGCATCAGCATCAGCAGCAGCAGCATAATCATCATCGTCATAATCATCATAATCATAATCAGCATCATCATCATCATCATCATCATCATCATCATCATCCGCAGCAGCATCATCACCACCACCACCAGCATCATCATCAGCAGCATCATCATCATCATCATCAGCAGCATCATCATCATCATCATCATCATCATCATCATCATCATCATCATCATCATCATCAGCATCATCATCAGCATCGCCATCATCATCATCATCATCATCATCATCATCATCATCACCACCAGCAACATCAGCATCATCAGCAGCATCAGCATCATCATCATCATCGTCATCAGCATCGTCATCATCATCATCATCATCAGTCGTCAGCATCATCATCAGCAGCAACATCATCATCAGCATCAGCATCGACATCAACATCACCTCATAGACAGCCGAGAACCGTGGACCCTACTCTCACCCCCTCCCCCAGCTTAAACCTCACAAACCCGCCCCATCATCAGCATCAGCATCAGCATCAGCAGCGGCAGCAGCATCATCATCACCACCACCACCATCATCAGCAGCATCAGCATCATCCTCCTCACCATCATCAGCATCGGCATCGTCCTCATCATCGTCAGCATCAGCATCATCACCAGCAACAGCATCAGCATCGTCATCACCACCACCAACACCACCAGCATCATAATCAGCATCATCATTATCATCATGATGAGCATCATCATCACGTCTTCATCTTCACCCTCTCGCTCCCCCGCGGGCCCCAGGGATGACCCGAAGAGGCCCTCCAAGGCCAGCCCCTTACTCCCAGAGATCCCCTTGTTCATCCTGGTTGCCCGCTTTGATGCACTATAAGTGTCTCTTCGGCCCTTCCCCATCAGCTCTCATGCGCAGGGTGTCTGAACGGGCTGGTGGGGATACGCGAATCGTGAACACTTATGACAGACATGTGGCATGGCAGCAACCTTGGCTCAAGAGAAAATGACATGCTGTTCGTCTGGCTGCGTCAGCACAGCAACACACAAACGGACAAGATATACATCGAAGAAAAAGAGCGAAGCAGGCACTCGCTTCACCGTGTCCTGGCCCACAGCGGGCAACTCCTTCATGGAGTACTTGTTGGACACGGGATCCTTATGCGGTGACTGCGCACCCCCATCGACGCCAAATGCGTCAATGCCAAGTGATCTGCTGTCGCTGGCTTGCTTGCGTGCTCTTGCGTGACTCAGCACGTTTGCACGTGATTCATTTTTTTGTCTGCGACCTTCGCCTGCTAAATAATTGCTTTGTCTGCGACCTGCGCCCGCCAAGTCGGTCTACCAAGACGCGAGTCGGCGGGGCAACTCACACGCTTCGTCGCTCCATAGGGCGCTCCACCCGAAGGCCCCAGTGGCAGCGCCCGCATGGCACCAACGCGCCCATATTGGCACACCCTTGCACGTTTCGTGGCCCCATGGAGAGCTCCACCGACGGCCCCAGTGGCAGCGCCCGCATGGCACCGCCGCGCCCATTTCGGCACACGCCTCACATGGTTCGTGGCTCCATAGGGTGCTCCACCGAAGGCCCCAGTGACAGCGCCAGCATGGCACCGCCACACCCAATTCGCACATCCTCACACATTTCGTGGTCCCATAGGGAGCCCCACCGAAGACGACACCCACAACCGCGGCACTCACAACTGCATATGGTTGGTTTCTTCGCGGCGACGAGGCGGCGACGGGGTGGCGACGGCGATGACATAGCCGCCAGATCGCCACACAGGCCCAGACGACTGGCGGCGACGAGGCGGCGACGGTGCGGCGCCAGCGACAACATAGCCGCCAGACCGCCACACAGGCCCAGACGACGGGCGGCGACGAAGCGGCGACGGCGCGGCGACGTCGACAACATAGCCGCCAGACCGCCACACAGCCCCGGTTCCTCAGACAAGAAATAAAAATCCCTAAGTGCAAGCAGCGTTTGGGGAACAGCCGACAAGTTACAACACAAAAGCCAGCAATTACCCAGCGCAACAACAGCAAAAAAAATGCCATTCGCATGAAGAAAAAACATGGTGTCGTATGAAGATTGCCACGGGCAGGCGCCGTTCCTGAAGAAATCCACGGCGGGCAGATGTGAGTGACTTTTCATTCCAGGGGGCGTTGGTGATGCACGAGGGAAGAGCATTTGCATCAACCTTGCCCGACGTTGTGCTGCTTCATGGAACGGTGCCTGCAAGGAGAATATGTACGTTCTGCTCAGACGTATTGGTTGGAAACTCAGCCGCACGGAAACACGCGTACAGCGGCACCTCGATGCCAGTCCTGGACTCTGGGCCACAAAATCTGTTTTGATCTTGGATTATTGTGGCGTAAACATGTTGCGTCGGCGGCTGGGCAGGGGACGTCTGCGCTGGCAATGGGAGGCCTGAACGGGGATGCCTGTGAAGCGGATTGTGCCACCATGTAAAAGGAGGA